TTTACTCAATATTCAGATTGAATAGGTATGGTGAAAGGATACAACCCTGACGCACACTTTTCCTGACTTTAAACCATGCAGTATCCCCTTGTTCTGTTCGAATGACTGCCTCTTGGTCTATGTACCGGTTCCGCATGAGCACAATTAAGTGTTCTGGAATTCCCGTTCTTTGCAATGTTTTCTATAGTTCGTTATGATCGACACAGTCGAATGCTTTTGCATAGTCAATAAAACACAGGTAAACACCTTTCTGGTATTCTGTGCTTTCAGCCAAGTTCCATCTGACATCAGCAATGATATCCCTCATTCCATGTCCTCTTCTGAATCCTGCTTGAATTTCTAGCAGTTCCCTGTCAATGTACTGCTGCAACCATTTTTGAATGATCTTCAGCAAAATTTTACTTGCGTATAATATTAATGATATTGTTTGATAATTTCCACTCTCTATTCCACATTACTGAAGTCAAAATTTGGCTTAAGTTACCCTGTGGATAGGCACAATTCTCTATGCCATGGCCACTGTTGGTATACTTAACTGGCTAGTTATCCAGCAATGCAATATGCTAAGGCACAAGATGGAATGAAAGAATGAGCCATGGAACAGTGGGAACCAGTACTGAAAATGACATTCAAATCATATGCCCTAAGGATGGCAAACGTTAGGGACCTCTCCCTAAACCAAGTTTCTCAAAAGGCAGGGACCTTCTCCGTTTGTATTCACCACATATCTTGGATGCCTAAACACTGCCTGCACGTAGTAAGCTCTCAATAAGTATTTGTTGAACGAAGCATGCCATCATCCAGCATCTTTGGATAAAGAGTCTGAAGATACAGGAATTCTGTCATTAGCTATTCAATTCTAGCTAAATTGTTTAATCTCTCTGTGTTTCAATTTCCTCGTCTATAAAATGTAGATGTTGGGATAGATCAGTGGCTTTCAAACTGTTTTTATCAGAGCCCCAGGCTTATGAGAACCTGCTTCACAAACCACTGCTGGGCATGCCGTAAAAGGAGAGGCCAAACAGACAGAGCAATGGAGCATCTTTTTCCAGTTTTAACCAGAGAAGCTCTACATTTATCTGATTTATATATTGGATGTTCCATCATATTTCAACCTGACTCCCAAAACATGCACAAATATGTGCACACACCTGCACACACACACACACACACACATATACACACACACACTGGACAAGGTGATTGTTGAGGACCTGTAAATGACTTCGTAAACTCTATGACTTAGAATTTCTATGTTTATGACTTCATACATAATTCTAGGTGAATGGAAATGAGAACAACCTCAGGTACATAACATTTGGCAAATCCTTGAATTTCCAGTGAAACTATGTATACTGTCTTCAGGCAACTCACACAGGGAATCTGTTAAGTTGCATAAGTATTAATATTACTGATATATCTTTTACGGTTATTAAACTCCTCATAATTTTAGCCTTTAGATCACTATGAATAAAAAGAATTACGGAAGTATTTTAAATCTTTCTACAAAAATAACAAAAAATTCCACACACTGCCTCTGAGGAAATCACACTGATTATAAAAGTTGTAGGAAAAAATAAATATAAAAGAGTTCCACTTCCAACATGACATAATTAGGAGTTCCACAGATCTGTTCTCCAGAAAAAGTGGTGAAAATCATTATTATTTTTTTTAAATTAAGTCTCTGGAAATTGTTCTACGGGCATACAGTGAATGAAGAAACATCCATCCAAGAAAACCTAAAAACTTGGTAAGAATAGTGAAAGTCTGATATTTAGACCAAGACCCACTTTCTTTCTGGATTGGAGACAGAAACTCCAATCTAGACAGGGGCAGCCAAGAACACAGGGCTCCCTATCCAACCAGCTTCCAGTCAACAGCTGTTTTCTGGGGACAGGCAAGAGGTCAGTATTCCTCTTCATGCCCCCAGCTAACTGTTTTTGAGGCTAAATTCTAAGCTAGTCCAGCCTAGTGTTGGGGGCTCCCTTCTTTTGCCCAACCTCCACTCTGGCTTTAAAATACACAGGGATTTATCCAGTTATTTCAAAAGGGATTACAAAGCTATCCAAAAAATATGTTCACTTAAAATTTTAATAGAACATTGAAAGGCTTGAGGTAATAAGGATCCAACAAACAAACCAAAAAGACAACTGAAGATAAGGGGTCTCAAACTGGCAGCTGGTGAGCCAAATATGCCTCACAGCTGTGTGACTGGATCTGGCTTTCAATTTTTTTCTTTTGAAATTGACTGTTTTGGCAGAGTAGCTACTCTCCACTTTTCCACAAGTTCCATCATCCCTAGTGCCTTATACCAGACCTAATTCTTACTCTGTTGTTCCCTGCTTGGGCGCTTAGCATTACAATCTGGGATCCAAGCTCTCCTGGGAATGTCAAGTGAACAGATTATCCCGTAATTTACAGAGTGTAGCCACTATTTCAGACTTAAAAATATTTTATCGTTAATGCAGAGCCATAGGAAAATAACAAGTACAAAAATTAACAAAACCAAATTGAGTAAAAATATAACTTAGAACTCATGACACTGGAGCTCCCATACATTCTAGGAACTGGTCTAAGTGAAGAAATTACATTCCTAATTTTATCTAGGAGTTTGGAATGAAGTCAAAGAAAAAAGAAAACTAATTCTGAATATTTAAAATTATATAGTCACATTGTTTACATCTTATCACTTGTATTTAATAATGTTAACATCAATATTAATAGTAAATATGGTTTATTCATTCCTGATCACAACAGCATAATAAAAGGGCACTAGGAGGACAAAACTAAGTACTCAACTAATAAAGACCCTAGTTCAGATCAAAGATGAATTATTTATAAATGATACATTGCTCTCTTATATGTGCTCTCGCCGTCAACCTCCTACCTATCCTTTAGAGCCAACCTAAGCTTCAATTCTAGTACTACTTGTCACCAAGTACACTCTTAAAGCAACAGCTCACCTTTCTCAAAGTGCACTTACTGTCTTTATCAGATTACTGCTCTTTAATACACACAGGCTTGCAAATTTCAGTCCAGTAACTTAGCACTCAAATTCAGTACATAATTTAGATTATTGTGTTGTAATATGATGATTATTTATAATGCAAAATATTATTCAGTAATTGGTACTCATGTAGCTGAACCATCACTTCAATTATATTATGAACATCTTATGAGCTGAGCTAATTTCCCAGTGCTTGGAATAGTGCTAGATATTGCAGCCCACACATTACTGATTACCTTTTTTACTTGCAGGTTTAATTCTTTGAGATTTATCTTGACTTTCCGGAATCTGAGGGATGCAGATTTTCTTGGGGATATGGAAATGTTGTGGAAGACTCACTTCTGTCTCGTATGAAATGGACTTAGGCTTCTTCAACTTTGAGGTATTAAAGAGCATGCAAGACTGCAAACAAACAGAGAGTAAAATTGGAATGTAATTCTCTTAACATTTACTTCCAAAACACAAAAGATAGCATTATGCATTTAGATTCCATATATTTTTTTATAATTGTCCAAATCAATGAAAGGGTTGAATTTGTTCATTTCTTTAGCCACATTATTATTTAACTGGAGAAAGGCAATACTAACAGGTTTCACAGAACCAATGGAGCCATTCTTTACTGAGGGATGCACAAAGTACCCTGCGTCATTGCATTGCATACTGAAGAATTCTTTGCCACTGGAAGAAACAATTGCACTAGTGAACTGGGTTGAGGAAGTGCTTCCTTCCCCAAGTTGAGACCTGCCCTCCTTAACATCTACCCATCAGCTCTAGTTCTTAATAGCAGTATAGAGTGAGTCCCTTCTCTTTTGCTAATGACAATTCTGTGAATATATAAAAGTCGCTAAGTTCCACCCCTCCACAAACCTCCAAAAATCCTTTTTATACAGGTTTGATTTTGATATTTTTAGTTCCTTCAAGCATCACTCATATAATGTGGGTTAAACTCAACCTCGTGCAAACAGTCCCTTAGACACAATCTAGTTCAATATTCTCCTTTTCAAAATGGAACACTCCAAATAAAGCCAGCCCTTCAAGTATGAGTAAAGCAGGTTAAAAGAGCCACTCATTTGTTCGGGCAAGTGTTCCACTCAATTAAACAAGGACAAAACAAAAGCCAAATCTGTTGCCACTGAGTCGATTCCGACTCATTTTGACCCAATAGGACAGAGTAGAACTGCCCCCATAGGGTTTTCAAGGAGCAGCTGGTAGACTCGAACTGCCGACCTTTTGGTTAGCAGCCGAGCCCTTAACCACTGGGCCACCAGGGCTCCAAAGAAGGTCAGAGCACCTATTATGCACAAGGCATTGAGGGCAGAGAAAAACACACGATTAAAGTTCTTTAGATTTCCAGAAATCCACAATCTGGTAGGAGAAACAGGTCAATATGAAATAAAATCTAATAAATAACAAAATTTGATCAATGCAATAATAAACACCGAAAGTGTGCTGGGAATCCAGGGAGAGAGCCAAAGGCCGAGGGAGAAAGATATACACTACATATGTGGGTACACCACATAGAGTCCGTCCATGAATAAAATCCACCTTCCGAAACCATTTTTCTTTTAAATAAAATCTCTTGGTAAATGATAAGAATGAAGAAAATGATTTTCAAGCATAAAAAGAGAGAGAGAAATATGGTAGGCTTGAAGTGTGAAACGGCCTCTCATTGAAAATTAGTATTATAAGAGTGTGCCGAGAGTTGAACATGAGCCTTCCCAAATTCACTGTCCTGGAGGAGGAGTGAACGTTTTGGTTTGAGCTGAAGAGAGCCCTCAGAACCTTTGGAAGCACAGTGTGGATGGTCAGTGAAGACAGCTTCAGATCCTCGGGCCTTGATGTTTTTGAGCCAGTCAGAACATAAAAATCTAGGTTATCTTTAAAAAAAACCATCAGCAGTTCTGAGGAGCCCTGGTGGCACAGTGGCTAAAGCTCTTGGCTGCAACTGAAAGATGAGGTATTCGAATCCACAGGAGAAAGATGTGGCAGTTGGCTTGCATGAAGATTGCAGACTTGGAAACCCTATGGGGCAGTTCTACTCCATCCTATAGGCTCGCTATGAGTCAGAATCAACTCGATGGCAATGGGTTTTGGATCTATTTTCTGGGGGAAAAGAATCACCCCTACAATGCCAAGGGTTTTGATGTAACATATGTAAATAAAGATAAATAGTATATAACGAGGAAGAAAAAAATGAAAGATTTATTCCTTCGTTGAACCAAGATATAGTGATTAGCCACAGGAGGCGCACTGGTAGTGCCATAGTAAAGCGCTTGGCTGCTAACTAAAATGTCAGCAGTTCAATCCACCAGTCTCTCCTTTGAAACTCTATGGAGCTGTTCTACTCTGTCCTATTGGGTCACTATGAGTCGGAATCAACTTGATGGCAACGAGTTTTTGTTTGGTTTCGGTACAGGACACACTTTCTAGGTACTGGTGATGTGAGAGTTAACGAAACAAACATCTTCTCACATATTCCCTTAATGGAGACAGGAAATAAGAAAACAACTGTGCTACTTTCAGGTGGTTAAGTGCTAACTACAGAGAAAACTGAAGACAGCCAAGGATTTTGGAAAATGCCTGATGGAGGGTTGTCGTTATGTGCCGCAGAGCTGATTCGGACTCACAGTGACCCTATATGACAGAGAAGAACTGCTCTATAGAGTTTCCTAGGCTGTAATCTTGATGGGAGCAGATCGCCAGGTCTTTTCTCCCACAGAACGGCTGGTGGGTTCGAACCGCTGATCTTTGGTTAGCAGGGGATGGTATACATATACTATGTAAAGCAGAACCTCACTGGTAGCATTTCAGCAGAGACTTGAAGTGACTGAGGGATGCAGCCCTATAAAAGCACAAAGACCATGGGCAGCATGCCTGGATTGTTTGAAGAACAACAAGGAGGCTACATGAGCAGGCTTACATTTTAGAAGAACTGCTCTAGCTACTCTGTGGAGAATAGGCTGGAACATATTTCAAATATGACGTTATATAAAATAGAGTTCAGCACTAATACGAGTCTATAGTAATAATAGTAACAGCAACAATATTATACATATACAGAGCACATATCTATTAGATAATATGCTAAGAATTTTACATATTTCTCACTTAGTTTTTATAAAATGGCCAACCTCTCCATATTCCAAATGTAAACATCAAAGCTTGATGAGCTTTCAGTAACCAGCCCACAGACACACAGCTGGACAGTTAGAATCTGGGTTCTCAGCCTGGTAATCTGAATCCAGAGAAGATCTTTTCTGGATCAGGTGGGCGACTTTTAAAACACACCCTCACCAACACCCACCTGTTTCAGAGATTCTTACTTAATTGTTCTGCAGTGGGGCCTGGGCACTGGTATTATTTTAAATTCTCCCCACAATTCTAATGTGCAGCTAGAACTGAAAACTGTGAATTTAACAATTACACTGTAGTGCATACAATTACATAGTATAATGATTTGTTTCAATCTTTTTATTTAATGAGGTAAACAAAGAAAAAAAGCTACTGATACATCTTCTGCAGGAAAAAAAAAACAGCATTCAGTGCAAACCTATCATTTTTCTACGGAAAAATATTGTTACCGATTAAGTAGTAACAGCTCTGCATATTTTTAAAGAGAGAGTAATTGAAGTGCATTATCTGTCCTCCATTCCCACCTCAACTGTGGTCAGCCCCAGGATGGCGATGGCCACGCGGATACTGCTGCTCTCCAGAGTGCCTGTGATAAATCTTCGCTGATACTCAATGTCTGACATCTGTTGCTGTGCTGCAAAAGCCAAAGCCTTTTCCTTGGCTTCATTAGTCAGTGGCAATTTTAGCTCCATATCCAGGATTTGCCGGAGATTGCAGTTCAAATACAGAACTGGATCTTCCTTATTAAACTCTAGAGAAAACAAAAATACTGGTGAATGGGATGAACAGTTTTGCCCTCAATATTGTTACCCAGGATGGGCTTGGGAGGTTTGAACTATAAAACTGCATTTACGACCTTTATCAAACAGAGTAAACATAAGTAACACATTTGCAGTAATTCTAATTCAGTTGTTCAAACATAAATCCCCAGAAATTAGAGGAAATACATTTTGCTGACATACTCTAGGAAAAGTTCCAGTCAAAGGGTTCTTTCATAGGTATATCATCAGCATGCTCAAAAGTTTCAATTACCATTGCGTTCCATTCAGAGGTTGTGCTCAGGTCAGGGGGAGTAGAGACACATGTAAAGACAGCAAGACAAGCACAGGCAAGATCTGCCATTTTCTTTCACTGACAATCTTCTACTTTAAAGCTTAATTCTTTAAGGGTCAGTGATTAAATAATAAGAGAGCAGGGTAGAATCCCAGATCCTATGAAGACATAGATTTTTGAGAGCATAGTGGATTCCAAATTATTTGAAAAATGGAAAGTTTTGATGAGAAATACGTTGTATGTCAAATTTCAATATTTATCTCAAGATTAAAAAATAAAGCTTCAAAAAAACAATCATTATTGACTTTTTTCTTTAATCAATAAAGTGGTACTGTATTACATGGATGCTGACATAATAAAGTTAAAAGGGAGCCTTCTGAAATCTAATTAAATACTGGAAAAGCTGATTATGAGGATGGTTAGGATACTATATGAGAAGTAGTCCTACCCTTCAACATTATAAGTGAAATAAACTTATACTCTACCTTCTTCTGGAGAAGTGTTGTAGTCAAGTGGAGTTGAATAATTCATTGGAACAAACTTGGAAGGCAAGGGGATCAAACCTTCTCCTTCCACAATGTATATTAATTCTCCAATCTAAAACACAACCACACAATATTAAATTTTAAAAGCTCAGAAAAAAATTGTGATAAATCTTTATAAAATAAAACTCTTTCAGTACTAGAAGCAGAACTAAATAGTTTCCAGGGATGACTCAGCATACTGCAAGGACATCCATGAATTTTACATTTATAAGCAACATAGGCTCTGAATGGGAGGAGAGAGATAAGGCATAAATATAGCCCTACCATAGTATGGGAGAAACCTCGCATTCTACTAGAACACAGGGTACATTCAGAAGGTCCCAGGAAGATACTGAAAATAGTTGATCTTTTCTACACATATCTTTGGGATATCTAGTTTAAAACAAACAAACAATCAAGTAAGCAAGGAAAAACAAAAACTTTTCCCCCCATTATTCTGTAACTTATTGTTGGAGGGTTGACATCACTTTGGGCATTATATCAGTCCCCCAGAGTCTAGATTTTAAAATGTGGAGTTTCAAAATGGACATGTGTGGATCTGAATATTTCTTAGAGTGAATAAGCAGACAAGAATTCCGAGAGATAAACAGAGAGTGAAGAAATAAGACTGGGGACAGTGCAAGGGCAGCAACATGATACAGGGAAGGGTCGATATGTTTCAGAGTAGAACTGTACTCCATAGGATTTTCAATGGCTGTGACCTGTCAGAAGTACATCACCAGGCCTTTCTTTTATGTAACTATTTATGGTTAAAATTATCTCATGACTGGGATTTGCTTCAAAAGAATCATCAATCAAATTTGGACCGGCATTGATAATTGTTGAAGGTGAGTACAGAGTGCATAGGGGGGTTTATTATAATCTCTACAATTGTATATATTTTATATTTTTCATAATGAAAGTGTTTTGTTTTGTTTTTTTAATTGGTGCAGTGGTTAAGAGCTCGGCTGCTAACCAAAAGATCAACCATTTGAATCCACCAGCTGCTCCTTGGAAACCCTATGAGGCAGTTCTACTCTTTCCAACAGGGTCGCTATGAGTCAGAATCAACTTAATGATAATTTTTTTTTTAAGATGAGGAGTGATAATAAGGGCGTTGTGAGGACTAAATGACATAACATATATTAAGAACCTAACCCTTTGCCAGAGTCACTGGGTGATGCAAATGGTTAATGTGCTTGGCTGCTAACTGAAAGGTTGGGGGTTCGTGTCCACACAGAGGTGCCTTGGAAGAAAGGCCTGGAGATCTGCTTTGGAACGATCACAGCCATTATAAACCCTATGGAGAACAATTCTACTCTGACACATATGGGATTGCCATGGGACTGAGTTTCAGCCAAGTGGAAGGCAACTAGTTTAAACTATTTGCCTGACACTTTAAGTGCCAGGTACTTAAGAGATCCATTTAAATGGAGCCATTATTTAAAAACAAGACTTCCTAAATTCAACATGTATAAAAAGCAACTGAGGATATTGTGGCAATGCAGATTCTGACTTAAGGAACACTGAAAACTAAGGCTGACAAATTTAGGTTTCTGCCACATCTGAATGGGCTTGTGACAGGGATGCAAACAACTACCAGAAAATCAAAGGGTTTCAAACCTCCCTTTGCAGTTGAGATTGTAACTAGTTTGAAGTGTTCCACAATTTTAAAACAAAATTAACTGTGTGCCTGAGAGATTATTTCACAGACTTATTTGAATCGGCAATATGGATTAAAATAACAGCAAATTGATCCCATAATAAAAATAGTATATATGTATATCTTACACAAAAAATGAAATGGCAGAAATTGAAAATTAAGTATGAAAAATTTCGAAATGTGGGGTCAATTTATTGATAGCTTCATTATACCCAAGCCCCAGCTGAGATTTGTTTATAATTCATTTGGTGGTTTGCTTTCATATGGCAATGTTCCCTAGAATTTCATCAGTTAAGAGCCATATTTATCTTCAGTTCATACTGAAAAAAAAAAAAGGGATAGCAACAACTTTTTGAATATTCTCAATTGTTTAGCATTTAAATCCATATACTTCTGGTAATAAATACTACCAAAAAATAAAAAACAAAAAGCCAAACCTATTGCGGTTGATTCCGACTCGTAATGATCTTATAGGACAGAGTAGAACTGCCCCATAGGGTTTCCAAGGAGAGGCTGGTGGAGTTGAACTGCTGACCTTTTGGTTAGCAGCCAAGCTCTTAACCACCACGCCACCAGGGTTCCCAAATAAATAGTACATTATATAAAATTTTCATATAGCACTTTTTCCTAAGCAGCCATTTACTTTGCAAACAAAAACCCAAGCTAACAATCTCAAATGTTCCTTTCTCCCCTTTGTGTGTATGCGTGTGTTTTACTACAAATACAACTGCGTGATCAGTACTAATGACCAGTAATTATTCAATGCTAATTTGAGTAGCAGGCAAATGTACCAGTTCAACAAAGCAACGGCTTGAGAAAGCAAGATACTACTTTTTATAGTTTTATTTGAACCTTTTGACATCCTTATTTTTTCTAAATCAGTTGTTCCCCCAAAATATAAGATTCATAAGCAATTAAAATCAGTAAGTATAGAGCTATCATAATTTACTCTTTTTAAAAATGTGTACCTGAATGAAACCTGAACTATAGCTTGTCTGCCCAGTGCAAATGAATGCCAACCTACAGGAGTTGATGTAAAAAAGAGCAAACTGCTATTTGCCAGTTTTTTTAAATATAAATTATAAACAGCTTCCCAGTCATTAATTAGCCAAATTTTATTAAAATACCAGTAACAAATTTTTCACTTAAATTCCACATTTTACACAGACAATATATTAACATTTCTCAAAAACTTATTTTGTACAAGGTATTCATCTTCAAAGTGTTTTATTAAAAAATAAAACAATATAAATGAAAATCATGCCTGCTTTGTCTGTGTTGGAGCCCTGGTGGTGCAGTGGTTAAGAGCTATGGCAAGCTACGGCTGCTAACCAAAAGGTCAGCAATTCGAATCCACCAGCCGCTCCTTGAAAACTCTATGGGGAAGTTCTACTCTGTCCTATAGGGTTGCTATGCGTCGGAATCGACTCGACAGCAATGGGTTTGTTTTTTTGGTTTGTCTATGTTAGAAAATTATTCTGGAAAGTCATAATCTCATCTAATTATCCCCTCTCCCCATTTCTCAGAACAAAATCAGGCCATGTAAGCAATACAAATGCAGTAAAAAACTGTTGTAGAGAAGCCCCTTACATTCCAAGTCTAGAGGCTGTGGTGAGGGAAATAAAATTCTCTGACCCATAGCAGACACTTGTCATTGTGATCTCTTCTAACACTCCAGTGCAATAAAAAGGCCCAACAGTTACTGAGAGGGGGCTGATTAAGCCATAGCAAGTGGCTGCTGCTGAACGTCACTCCTAACCATCCCCCCAGGTCAAGGATCTCTCCTTGATTCTCCTCTCTCCTCCATACAGCTGATCCCAGGATTACCAGTTCCTAGTTGATGTGGTGGCCTTGGGAACCCAGGACCTCGCAGAGCAGGTGCTGACATGCTGGAGCACCACCGTGAAGACAGAGCCCCGGGCTTGTGTCACTACACTGCCAGGTGCTGTGCAGTGTTTGTGTGCTTTGTGTAGGGGTCTGTCAACCCCTCCTCCCAGAAGGTACAATTCCTCAGGGGCTGGGCTGTGGTTTTGTTTCAGGTTCTCCATTCAGTCTGCCCCCATGTACACAAAGCAGACATTTCTTTGGATTTCTGCCATTTGGATAACAAGAACTTTTAGGGCTCCTGTAGGTTTTTCCTTTACCCCTAGAATTTCTATGAACGTTGGTGGAAATTTTGTAGAACTATTTCTACTTTCATTTCATTTTTATTTGAAGGTTCAAATGAACAGCCAAAATGAAACAAATGACCTTTTCTTGACAGCAGTGCTAGCAGAAATGTTTCTGTTTTACACACGGAAATAGAGCAAATAGAGGCCTAATTACTATACAGGTTTCAACAGGTGGTTCTTAATGGCAAAGCAATTATCCCACATTTAATAAGAACAGGAACCAACTAGGTAGACTTGGATTTTTGATTACCTATTTAAGCGTGTAATTGCATTTTTCAATGTAATTGGCAATGTAATTGAATATGTAAATTAATAGATGTCCTTCCTCACATAAGTAATTATAATTCAATCCAATCTTTTAGATCGAGGGCATTCTTTCTCACTTGACAGCAATATAATTTCATAAATTTTGTTTTATTCTAATATTTTCTCACAAGGACAAAGTATATGCAATCAAAAGTCATGTTTTAATAAATTGAGATGCCAACTTAAGTGTGATTATATTTTTGATTAATTGATATAAATTTATGGAGGTAAATAATATCCCAATAGTTTTATTCAAAGAATAAAATCAACTTACTTACTATGTATGTTATTGAGAATTAACCTTAGTATTTTTTAGGGTTATATTAAAAATTAATATATGAAAGCAATGTGACACATTTACTCAAACTACTGATCACACCATAGCTCCAATTTTTCATGAATTTTGATGTACGAGAATTCAGTTAAAACAAATTCCTTTAAAGAAAATAAAAAATGCAATTTAACATTACTATAAAACCACATTTTTTCCTAAGTGGTAATTTTAAGTGTAAAATTCAACTCTATTTTACATATTTAATAAGTTATATTGTTTTTCATGTGTAAATGATCCTATGGAAGCTAAACTCATTGCCACTGAATTGATTCCAACTCATAGCGACCCTATAGGACAGAGTAGAACTGTCCCATAGTGTTACCAAGGAGAGGCTGGCAGATTCGAACTGCTGACCTTTTGGTTAACAGCGGTAGCACTTAACCACCATTGGGCTCCCTATGGAAACTAGTTAAGTATAATTCCTCTTTCCAATCACCATTATTTCATTGCATACACATTCAATATAGTGTACACATATTTGATACATTTGGGGCTGTATCCTGGGTGCTATAAATTGCCTTCTTAGATCGGCCCATGGCAGTGCCTGGGAGAGGGTAATGCTATAAAACCTTCCCTCTAGAGTTAGTCTTTCTGTCTGTTTCTCTCTCCTTTAAAGACGCAAGCTTCATGAATCCCATAGCCACAAGAAAATGCATTCTTCCTATAACCTCAGGACGCTTGGAAGCAGATCTTTTACTCATTTGAGTCTCTGAGGAGAACCTAGTTGTGGATGATCCCTGAAGACTTGTGAGACCCTGAGCAAGAGGACCCATCCAGGTGGTTCCCGGACTCCTGACCCATAGAAACTGAGATAATAAATGTGTGTTGTTTTAAGCTGATATATTTGTGGTAATTTGTTACACAGCTATAGATAACTAATACAGATAAGAGCCACTACAGTATCAGGGACGCCTCCACTCTGTTCCCATGGGGCTTCTCTATGTAGTCATTTAGAATTTACTCACAAATACAGGAGCCCTGGTGGCGCAGTGATTAAGAGCTCAGCTGCTAACCAAAAGGTCTGCAGTTCAAATCCACCAGCTGCTCCCTGGAAACCCTAGGGGGCAGTTCTACTCTGTCCTATAGGGTCGCTGTGAGTCAGAATTGACTCGACGGCACATGGCAACAACATCTGTAACATACTTGTAAAATTTACTCACAACTACTGTAACTCTTCCCTTGTCCTTAAGTTCCTTGTTTAGCAACTTTAAAGACTGAAATTATTATCTGCACTTCTAGAGCCCTGCACAATGCCTGACACATACTAGGTGCTCAGTAAATATTTGTTTGCAGATATTAAACACTGTATGTGACAAATTAGGATTTTTAATGAGGCCATCATGACAGTGAATTAATAGAAGGTCTTAGGAAAAGCTGTCTATAAAAGAGGACTAGTTTGGGTTCTAAAAGTATGGTTTAGTCACCATTCTTTATCTACCCTAGAATTTCAGGCCTAATTTTTCAGGCTGGTGGAAAAAAACCAAACAAACAAAAAGATAATGTGATAGATTAAAAACAAAACAAAACAAAAAACCTGTTGCCATCAAATCAATTTCGACTCATAATGACCCTACAGGACGGAGCAGAACTTCTCCATAGGGTTTCCAACGAGCACCTGCTCGATTAAAACTGCCAACCTTTTGGTTAGCAGCCATAGCTCTTAACCACTACACTACCAGGGTGACTACAAAATAATGAGAATATCACATAAGGAAAATTGAAAATTAACTTCATTGCTTTATAGGCAAGTTTCCACTATGCCATTGGAAGAATAATAATGGAGGAAACTCAACAGACCTTCCCAATAAACTATGAGGTACGTACAACTGCATCAGGCTACTTTTTTTTTTTTTTGCAAGAGAGGGGAATAATTGACTAATATCTACAGAAACACACCTTATCAGAAATGGGTTAAAATAATTTGGAATAAGTTTTTAATTGGAGAGTAAAATAATATAATTAGTTGGAGATTTGGAAGGATATATTACGCATCAAGAAAAGGAAGGAGGTATGAAAAGTACATGGAATCTAGGATCAGAAAATCCAGGTGTGAGGCTTGGTTCAACCACTTACCAGCAGCAGGGCCTAGTATAATTCTTATGCTATTTCCAAGCCTCAGTTCTCCCACCTGCAAAGTGACAATACTGCTATATCAAATAAAATAATTGTACTTGAACATAACAGTCTTTGAGTTGCTCTTCTTGAATTTATGTCAGCTGTATAAGAACTATATAAAAACTAAATTTCAGGCTACAGCTTTGAATACTTGGGAGACTTGAGAAGTAAAGCAAGCTCTAGCTCTCATGGATTTTCATATAAACATAGGGCACTCTTTTAATGAATGTCCTTGTGTCTATGGGTGGAAGGAGCCTGGCCGTGTTATGCCATAAAGGAGGGTAAAAGAAATCAGAATAGAGGATTGTTGTAAAAGATGGAGAATTTTTTTTGTTTTTTTTTTTAAAGGAGGGAGAAACAGGTATAGATAATATGATGAGGCAAAGGAGGACATGAAGCTTGTCAATCAGTGGTATCTCAGTGTCACTTTCTTCTCTCAGTTGTTAACGCTCATAAATGTACCTGAGCGAAGTAGGGACAATAAAGACCAGACTATTCATTTCTTGAATCTTGTAACTCTTGTGTGTTAGTTCCCCAGGGCTGCCATAACAAATTACCACAAACTGGAGGGCTTAGAACAACAGGAATTTATTTCTCACAGTTTTGGAGGCCAGAAGTTCAAAGTCAAGGTGTCAGCAGGGTCGGTACCTTCTGGGAGCTCTGACGGAGAATCTGTTCCATGGCTCTCTTGTAGCTTCTGATGGTCACCGGCAATCCTTGCTGTTCCTTGGCTTGTAAACACATCACTCCAATCTCTGCCTCTGTCTTCACATGGCCTTCTCCTTGTGAGTGTCTGTGTCTAAATTTCCCTCTTCTTATAAGGACACTAGTCATTGAATTAGAGCCCACCCTATTCCAGTAGGACCGCAAATTAACAGGATTATATCTGCAAAGACTCTATTTCTATAAACGGTTATATTCACGGGTACCAAGGTAAGGACTATAATATATCTTTTGGGGGGACACCATTCAGCCCAAAATATCCTGGAAATGGAAACATCAATGTTTTGTCTCAGTTATGCTATGATCTGAGAGCTGCAAGAGGGACTGTGGAAGGAGGGGACTGTTGGTCACAGAGAAGAATCCCAGACTTCCCAAGACCTCCAGCGCCTTCAAAGTACCTACCCTTGTTACTCCATTAACGAAGATGTTCATGCTGAAAGCACAGATCACAATCCTGTTCTCACCTTTTGGTTGCTCAGGATGATGACACAATAGCGCGTATGCATGTCAAAGGGAAGAAAGTAGAGGTCCAGATTTGAAGACCCTTTCACTCCCAGATGAAGAGTACACGTGGAGCAGAAGAACTCTTTGATGAAATTGGATTTAATTGCTGCCAAAACATGAAACAGAACATGTTTTCATATCATTTCATTAGTGCTGTTCAAAGAAAGTAGTTGTTTTAATTAGGGATGAAAGTTCTGGGATCAATTAAAACATTTCAAAGCATTAGTGCTCGAGATTAGAAGATGAGACATCCATTTGTTAATGAAAGTATGGGTGACCCCAGCTCAGGCTTAATATAATAAAAAACACAATTACTATTCTCTATTAAAAATTTCTTAATAAACAATTTCATTACAAGGGAACTTCACTACTGTTTAAAATTAGCCTAGATATATGTAGCAAAGAGTCACCCAGGAATCTCCAACTTTCTGTGGACTCTGTAATTAATGGTTCACATTACAGAGTGTAATGGACAAATTGAACTGGAAATAAAGGATTGTTTTATATACTCAGCACACACACACCTTTTAATGGTTTTAAAATATATTTACAAATCATTTGATACTGCCTTGAATATGAGCCAGCCTTAACGATTTGATCCTAACAAATTAAATGCTAGAATATAGCAAAAGTGATGTGGTATGCGGCTTCTCACACCAGATCAGGAAATGTAACGTGACATCTGGTTGGTTCTCTCTCCCGCCTCTCTCCTGTGAAGGAGACCAGGTCACATGGAGAGACCATGTGTAAGTGTCCAGGCCAACAGCCCCAGGTGAAGTTCCAGCCAACAGGAAGCATTAATCATCAGACATATGAGTGAGGAAGCCTTTGAGATGACTGAAGCAGCAGTCACCATCTGACTGTAACTGCACGAGAGGCCCTGAGCAAGAGTCACCTAGCTGAGTCCAGTCACTCCAGTAGTGTGACAGATAATATTGACAAATATTTTTTGTTGTTTTATGCACTACATTTGGGGTGGTTTGTTCTGCAGCTATAGATAACCAGAACATTCCTATATCCATGGTCCTAGCCATCATTCTATTCATCATTTCTAGACTTATAGTTATTTCACAAAAGAAGGTAAATCTTTGCTCTTTTTACCATTCTAAACTTGGCGATATTTGTTGCCTAAATAGGTTTAAACAGTTCAAAAGAAGCCGAAAGAGACACAAAGGCTATGTAAACAAATATATTCATTGTGCAGGTGAGGAAACTAAAGCTCAGCAGTGAAAGGAAAGATGTGGGCAAAGTCCTCAAAGGGGCATAAGCAGAACAGGGTTGGCACCAGCACCTGAGCCTCCCATCCAGTCAGCAATTCCCACAATGCACCATTCTGTCTATTTCACAACACACCCTCTGTTGACTATTTCATTCCATGTTATGCTCTGCAAATAAAAATCACACATGAAAACACAGAAAAGCTTCTCTTTGAGTTACTCACAGGTTTTGAAGACATTTTGGAAATGAGAATAACTCCCAGGAGTTTTATATCCACTGCTACTCACAGCATCACTGTCAGAAGTAATAGGAAAACATCAATAACACAAACAAAACTAAAAAATAATTCTCTACCTTAATTAAATTTTATAAAGCCTTAACAATTATGGCTACCTATAACACGGTAAACAAGACCACTAACATATTTCAAATATCATTCGGTTTTTACATTGTTTTAGAAATTTTAAAAATAAGAAAAACACAAAAAAGTAAACTAACTTATCCATATCTATACCTTTTTTTTCTGTAAAACTGATGGACTTTTCAAATACTGAAGAGAAGTACAAATTTGAAGATGTTAATAATAACAAATATCCAAAACCAAAGACTCGAAAGTAGGCAGTTTCAATTTAAGACTAAATAGGTACTCTCTCCAAAAGTGGTTCTAACATTTGCTTTCTTGAAAACTTCTCTTCTCTCAGTTCATTGATTCCATGTTCGCTTCTTTCTCATAAGGGCAGAAGGAGACTTGGACAGCTGTATAATCTCTGGTTGTGTTTCTAAAAATTAATTAACATATCACAGTCTGAAGCAACTGCCTCCCTTGAAAGGTTCCATATCTTCCAGAACCCACAAAGTTTTGCCAAAATTCTTTGTTCTTAGTATCGTGATCACTTTGTTCATCACGCTGTCAATATTTGACCTCTCAGATACTGTTTACCTGATGTATTTTCTGGAAGTACAAAAACCCCAGATTTGTTCAAGTGGTCATCTGCTTTTGCCTGAATTTGATACTGTAAAAATACATTGACTATTTCCAGGTGAAGTCCTTCTTTTCACCATAACCTCTTCTTTTCCCCATTTGATTTTTATGAGTAACACTATCTTTTTTTTATATCACATTCTCAATGAGGCTACGTAGCCCATATTGTAATTATTCTGTGCTTTACATTTACTCACGGGCATTCTGGTTAGCAATTTAAATAATACTCCCCTCCTTTTAAAGTAAAGAACACTTAATATTTTTATGTGATTTGAGGAATTGTAATTTAAGGCTGCCATAGGCATAATAAACAGATATCTTAGCATTTATTAGGGAAATCATACACGGAGTGGACAGAACAACAAAGAATGTTGATTTCTCCACGTATGGTCCCATTGCTCTCTCTTTGATAATGGAGCTCTGGTGTAGAATGTCTGATTAAAAGCCAAGAGATCACCTCTAAACTTCATTTTGTTCAACACTTGCAACTTCTATCCTTCTAATATTATTTATCATAGTGGAAAGTTTGGGTTTCATTGTCTTTCTCTTTTCTTTACTTGTTTTGTTAAAAAACAGCTAATGAAAGTGTCTTTTTGAAGAGGTCAAAATTGCCTCATACCCAAAGAAGTCTCTCAAACCCAGAATAACTGAGTTACCTGAGTGTTCATGGTAAAGACAGGCAGAAACACTCTGTATCGACTTCTTCAGAAAGTTAATGATTATCATGATGATTACTTCAGAGAAAACAGAAAGTGGTTTAATAAAATAATTTGGCTTGGCAAAATCCTATTTTACCTGATTAATGTTCCTGCGTCTAGAAATTATTGTTTACAAAACCAGTATCTTGCATGCTCCAAAGACAGGATAGAAAACACCTTAACTCATTTACATTTTTTTTACTTCCTGCATCTCAGTCCATGCTGCCATTTTTCTAGATGCTCATTGATTATTGATAAAGCTATGGCAGAGGGAACATGTTTAAACACTTGGTCGTAGGGAAGACATAGCATCAAAAGAGGTGAAAATTACACAAATATTGCGTATCAAGCAATGGAGTATTTCTTGCTAATCTGGGGCCGGTCAGAGTCAGGGAGTGACTCTGAGGTCACTTTTGTCCCTATTTTTGAGTTGTGAAGGGACACTATTCCTTTTTCTACTGTAGTATTGGTATGCAGCTCTTTTCAAGCTAAGGATCAAAGTGACATTGCATTGATTTCCCTTCAGGGCATAAATAATTCAGTCCCAAGAGTGACTTCCTCAAATTTTTCCTAAAAGGGTTTAGGAAGACCTTTGTCATAAACCCTCATGAAGTTACACTAGGGCAGGCATTCAGGGCTGTGTTCGAACCAGATGGCAGACTATCTGGGGCAATATGCGTATGTGAAGGAATATGAGATACTCGTGCTTTAAATTCATTCTATCCTCCATATGTCCAGCAGTTCATCAAAGAAGGGACTGAAGGCCATCTCGAGTTGAATCAAGATGGGATAATTGCTGCTTTTTTTCACCAACTTGGCCCCTGGGCAGGTTAGAAGCATCTGAAGGAAGGAGCTCTAACCTGGGGTCCAAGGACATGGTAGATGAGGAAAAATCCCATCTTTATTTTCACCAACTTTTAACTACAACTTAGTATCCCCAAACCACAGTAGTATTAGCTGTACCTATGACCTGGTCACCAAAGAATCACAGATACGTGTAGATCACATTTCTGTTTGTTTGCAAATATCTTGAAATATTCTTTATGCTCATCATTATTTTGAAAGTATGGTAGTCATTAGTCCCATGATTAGATTTTATTATGTATTATACTAAAAAGTGGATATATTACAATATTTTAAATATTTTGATAATCTGTTGAAATATTAGTTTGCCCTGTGATCTTTGTATCTTATTTTCTGTATTTAGAAACCACTATTCTACGAAGAAGCATAGGCTTCATCAGACTGACAAAGAGGCTGATGGCATTAAAAATGTTAAGAAACTCTGATCTAGAGTAAGATGACCAAGGCAGATTACTTCTCTTAGTATCCTAATGTCATGCCAATCCTGAACTGACAAACCAAGGATCTGTTTAAACTGACCAATACCTTTTCCTTGAGAAATGCTGTGGCATTTGGCTTATAAATCCTACCCCTGCCTTTGACCTGGGAGACTGTTTTCACAGGGATATATGTTACTAAATCCCTAATGATTTAAGAATGGCTATTCTTTGACAATATTCTTTGAGAGTTAATCTGTAGCAGCCTGATCGTTATTTGTTGGATCATGTTCTCCCTGCCTTGACACTCAATGGCTCAGAAGCTTTATGTTTCTTTTATCACGGGAAAGCTTGAGAGAAGAATTAAGAAAATACGGTATTGGAAATGGAAGAGACTCTATGTTCGAGACCATGGTAGGCACACTTTTTAAGCTGTACTTCATGATGAGTTGGTAATTATTTTGGATGAAGACTTCCAAAGTATCCTTTTCTGGTATAACTAAATTAAAATTTTTACTTGTGTATTTTATTTTGTTTTTCACTTGGCAAGTATACCACAAAAGGGAAGACACCTTTACCTGTAGCTTTAAGGTCTATGGTTTAATAATTCTTGAACTTTGAACGTAATCAAACCCATTCCAGCATATTATATACTGCATTTTATGCAAATAATGCACACATTATACACTTTTTGCAAACTGTGCAACTCCCTGGTGTATTATTTTCCTATGTGTGTTATATGTGTGGGTGTATTATTTACGCTGGTGCCTTATTTGCAAAAAAAAATACGGTAATGGAAAAACCTGTTTAAGTTTGTGATACAGAATTCCTATATTGCATCCCAAATCATGAAAGCAGACTCAATTTTGCTGTTCATTAAACTGACTCAATTTTTATTTACTTATGCTCACAGATACCTATAGCACTGCTTTGAGGTCTTACTCTAATATGTGACACTATAAATTATTAACAATTCATGTGAGGAATTCTTTCAAGGCCATTCAAGCAATATCTAGGCTCACAAAGCAGCCACTTAATTAAGAAGAAGCAAGGGACTAAAAAGATAAAAAATCTAGAAGAATCAGTTACTGAAGTGGTTAGCAATACTAGCATTTCATATTTACAAAGAAATTAACATCAAATACCTAAATTTTCCTATTCTTATGGTATCCATAATGCCACCTTATGTCTCCATGTATTAATTCATACTTTATTTTTCACTATAGCTAAATGTGAAAGCAATGCTTTAAATGTCCTACTTAAGCATGAAATGAGCATTCAATGATACAAATTCGGTAAACAAAATGGTTATCTTCTTTAACAAGTTTTCTCACAGAACCACCAACAGAGAAACCAAATGTCTTATAATAGAAGCAATCCTTATATTGTCCTAAAAATACTGGCTGGAATATAACTAACTTTTGGAAAATATACATATTTTAATCTTAGCAAGCTCTGTACAAGCACCCTAATGGTTTCTGATGCATTGGGAATTCCTATGTTATCAAAATTGTCCAGTCTCTGCCTGCTGAGATAATTTTTGTATCTAAAAAGGGTGACACTGATGCTGTCAAGCCTTAGGAGGAGACAAACAAGAGTGTAAAATAAACAACACAGAAGTAATGGTCAACATATGCATGCATTTAATTAATAGACACTTGCATTATTTTCTTTCTGCCTGAATTTCTTTAACCTTGGCAACACTGCTTTCTATTCTACTTCACCCTAAAGAGCTATTCTATAGTTTAAAACAGATGAAAAATATAAAGCAGTATAACTTTTAAAAATTCTACTTCTCTATTCAGAAGTCAGGGTCCTTTCTAAACCAAATACAGACCTCATAAACTAGGTGGAATAAGCTTAAATATTTAATCAAGTGGAAATTTATTCAATTTTCATGCACATGAACCTAGTATCACATAAACATATTTGTATAAGAGTGTGAGAAATATAAATAAAGCATTCTGAATAAATTAAAATTATTATGCAAATGTAAAGTAAATTTACTCAAATACAGATTTTGCAGAACTTTTCCTCAGATAATTAAGGGTATGAAAAACATAAACATTTACCCATGGTTCATGTGGCTAGTGAACTGTCCAGATTCATTTAATTGTGATGGCAAAGTTACAAATGTTGAGGATTCCACCAACATGACACTGAAATAAATGAAGCAAGAATTATTTAAAATTCCACAGTATCAAAATTCAGATGGCCACAAAACATTCTTCCTTTAAATTTTTCCCATCACATTCATAAAGAGTCAGAATAATCTATGCAGTTTAAGAAGTCCAAGTGTTCTCCAACTCAAAACACACATTTTAGAAAGAAGGGAAAGACTTGAAATAGAAATATGTGAAATATAATATTTTTTATATGCAATGACAACGCTGAATTCTCATAGCAGGGAAATTTAGAACAGAAATGCCTCCCCTAATTATATTCCAGAGACTAAGAGGAAATCACACCCTAGTCTAATGCATTGCTTGAGCTGTATACATTTCATAATTTCTAATCTTATTTCCAAAAAAAGAAGTGTTTCTGTCAGGAGTGGATATGAGTTGTGGGTAGCTTGTTAATCAGTGCATTAACAATTATGCCAATCTTCTGGAATCACAGGGTAATGCAGTCCCTCCTTTATGACAATACTCATTCATTCAAAAGTTATAGAGACTCCTTTACCTGTTAGGCATGGCAATAGGTGCTGTAAAATATAGATATGAATATATTAACATCCCTGCCCTAGATTGCCCATATTGCAGTGGGAAAATAGTGTGAAGTGATAAACCAGCAGTAGATATAAGATGTAATGAAGAGTCATGGAGGAATGCCTACTTCTACCTGCAGAAGTAAACCTGTTAAACTCATTGTCATTGAGCCTGTTTCGACTCATGGCCATCCCATGTGGTACAGAATAAGATTGCTCCATAGGGTTTTCTTGGCTGTAATCTTTACAAAAACAGATAGTCAGGCCTTTCTTCTGTGGTGCTGCTCGGTGGATTTGAATTGCCAACCTTTAGGTTAGAAATTGAGCACAAACCATTTGATACACCCAGGGTCTTAACGCATTTCCAAATTGTATTTGTAAAAGAAACTTTGTTTTCTTATATAACCGTTATTAAGGTCCCACAAGACTAGCTTTAAAATAAAAAGCAAACCAGTAATGAAATTAATCAAATATGGTTTAGTCTTGATAATACATACAAACACACAACCATACATACATACTAAAACGCATCACTTTCATATATCCTAAAATATGAAGGTTAACATCAGATTTGGTCCTTTTGTTTTAACTTGATATGTCTAATGCTTTCCTATTAGAGTTGAAAGGAATCATATGAATCTTGAATATATCTACTAAAAATATTTAAACAAGTAAAATTAACTGTAGTAAAAGGGTCTCTGTGAGTTGGAATCGACTCGATGGCAATGGGTTGGGTTTTGGTTTTGGATATGAGCTATGCAACACATGTGACAGTTTATCATATGCACCTATATCATTGTAAAGTTACACTTAGGCAAATACATAAGGAAGAATTCCTCTCCATAGAGTAATTTAAATTTAAAATCAGGCACTAAATTCTCATTTAAGTATCATAAACTTATGAGTCAGAAAATATCCAATATTTCTTTATATTTCTATAACTCCAAGGTGAATTGGAACAATTTACTTTGGTGATAATCTGTTCTGGCTGAAAAACAGTCATAAACATAAGGCAGTTGGACGCACAAATCAAAAGACTAAGCCAGTGTAATAAATACTAGATCTTTCATACACTGTATGTATATAAATGAGATAAAATATCATTCCATGTGTTTCTATTTGATCAGTCCCTGCTTAAATACAATGAACATGGTTTCCTTAAAATAGATGGAAATATTAATTGTATAATTGAAATACGAACTGCTTATTAAAATGAAAAAAAATCCTATTTGATTACTACAATTTCACTATCAGTGGTTCTCAGACTTGAATGTTCATAATAATTATCTGGGGCACTTTTTCAAAACGGAGATTCCCAAGGTTCTGCCTGTGTGGACTCCGATTCATTAGGATTGGTATGGGACTCATGGTCTTCCATTTAAGCCAAGCTCTCCAATGCTTTTGATATAGCTTGCCAACGGATACTCCATTGAGTAACTCTGATCTAGACCAGAATTCCTCTAACATTAATGTACAGACAAATCCTCTGGGGGAGCTGTTAAATGCAGATTCTGACTCAGTAAAATTATAGTGGGCCTGAGATTCTGTGTTTATAATAAGTTCTCATGTGATGTCAATGCTGCTAGTTCAAAGATGACAATTTTATTCAGAGAATAAAACAAAATTATCAATAAAAGAAAGGTAGGGAATGGCAGAGTGAGAACCACCATAAATCTGCCCCTCCATAAAAAGGCAACAAAAACACTGGCAAAAATTTTCAAAATCAACTTTTTCGGAATTCTGAGAATTAACCAAAAGTTTGCAACATTCTGAATAGTGTTTATTCAAGAAAAAACTGCCTAGCCTCAGTAACAGCAGCAGGATTTATGGTGTTGTAACTTGACCAACTCCCATATTCCTCTCTGCAGATCTGTGGTAGCCTTGAAAACCAGCAGCACTGCAACCAAACCAAAAACAAACTCGGTGCTGTCAAATCGATTCCAACTCATAATGACCCTACAGGACAGAGCAGAACTGCACTACAGGGTTTCCAAGGAGCAGCTGGTGGATTCGAACTGCTGACCTTTTGGTTAGCAGCCAAGCTCTTAACCACTGTGCCACCAGGGCTATGAAAACCCTCAGTTTTGCAGCCTTCAGAGGGTCAGACTAAGATTGAACTTCTTCAAAAAGTCCTATCCTCCCATCACTGACACCAATTTTCCTGTCTGGAAGTTCCTTGGAAAACTGTAATTTGCAGGATGTTGTCTTTATTTGATGTGGCTCTAGCAAAAACACCTATCCCCGGGAACTTTGTTGAAAACAATCAGTGGCATATTTGTCTGACGCTGCTATACCAGTTGACTGAAACAAAAGCCTAGCCAAAACTTCAAAAAATCTGGAGAACAAATTGCCTATGGGGAGTGGAGGGGAAGATCTCTGCCATATTTTGGGGATCTAGAAGGCTGTATAAGGAACCCTATTGGCGCAATGGTTAAGTGCTCAGCTGCTAACCAAAAAGTCAGTGGCTCAAACCCACCAGCTATTCCACAGGAAAAAGATGTGGCAGTCTACTTTTGTAAAGGTTACAGCCTTGGGAACCCTATGAGGCAGTTCTACTCTGCCCTATAGGGTCGCTATGAGTTGGAACCAATTCGACCGCAACGGGTTTAGTTTTTGTTTTTCAAAAGGCTGTACACACGTGCAGTGCTGTGCCCATACCCAGGAAGGTCCTCAGAGGACTCCAATATCTTACTATTGATTGACCTTGAGGTCCTATGCAAGTAAGAAGTGAAGGCTAAGGCAGAGTCTTTATCTGCTGGAGCATGGAAGGTGTGCCCCAATAAAAACATGCCCCTTGGCAAAGAATGGAAGCTTTATTGGCTCAAGGTATTTAGGGAAATCTCTGACCAGTCATTAGTTGACCAGAAAGCAAACCAAGCAGAGATTTCAGTGTCTGTACCCTATAAAGAATATGTTGGTGTTGTTAGGTGCCGTCGAGTTGGTTCCAACTCATAGTGACCCTATGCACAACAGAATGAAATGCTGCGCGGTCCTGTGCCATCCTCACAATCGTTGTTATGCTTGAACCCATTGTTGCAGCCACTGTGTCAATCCATCTCATTAAGAGTCTTCTTCAATATAGGGAATATAGATTTTATGAAATCAGTTCTGCAAAGTTACCAAATAAACAGACAGCTGCAACAACAATAACATCAAACAGTAAAACCAACAAACCCTGTGAA